GACTTTTTGGGAAATATGCATACTGGCTTTCCTGTTGAGAATTTGATGAGAAGATTGACACCACTCTGTCTGTCCCGTGAATATGACAGAACAGCTAGGAGACAGTTTGCTTAGCTTAGCATAAAGGCTGGAAACAGCTAGCCTGGCTCTGTCCAAAGATAACAAATACATTTCAAATGCCTGTAAAGCTCATTAGTCTGTATTAATATAATAATCACATGTCATATGTATGTTGAGAGGGTTGTGGGGGGCTGCTCTCCAAACTGTCTGTGAAGGACTAGTTGGACAAATCCAAAGGTTATCTTCGTTCTGGCAGAAGCTCTCCAGGTTTAGGACACACTGTCCTTGGAAACAAACAAAAAAAGGGACTTTTGTCCTAAAACAGACTATTTAGAAAATACCTATAGAAGTGGTTGGTGTTTTTTTTTTTTTCAACACGAGTTAAAGCTGACACATAGTATGTAGTGTAGCATATGTATATGTGGGCCAATAAAGAAATGTCAGACATAAGTTTGAAGTGATTCAGTGTGCATTGCACAGTTTATCCACCAGAGAGCACAGTAAACATATCAAACATGTTTGTTATAAAGCTCCTGTATGGTAATATTCACATAGAGACTTAGAAAGTACCTGGTAGCTTACAGTGTCTTTACAGTGATTGGTTGGTCCATGGTGACTCTGCAGCACCTCCTTTACTGCCACTGTGTGTTTTCCTTGCCTTAGTTCAGGGTGGTTTTAGATTACTGCTGCGTGTGTGTTGTGTGTGGGTGTGTGCATTACTGTAGCAGTGTGGTCACACACATTGAAGCTCACCAAAATGTGTGTGCATAAAGGTTCTGGAAAGGCTTAAATGCAGTGGGTGTGTGTGCAGTATGAGTCATGTAAGGTCTGAAATGATCTAAATTCAACAGTGTTCAAAAGCTAATTTATATACAGGGACAAAAGGTTGCAGCAACAAATTTAAACTTTTCTGTGGCCTCAGCATAATGGAAGTTAACAGTTTTCTCAACTTTTTCATTGTTAGAGTGAAGGACTTAGCCCAGCATACATTAATGATACAGTCTTGATGCAAGTTGTTTTACTGAGAATTAGAATCTGACAGAACAAGTTTGAGTTTGTGCCGTATATGAAAAAGTCTTGACGGTAAACACACCAGCATTTGTTGACTCATGTGCTGTCCTTTTTCCCACGATCACCGCATGTCGAGGTTCCAGAAAAGCTGCAGTTTGATCACATGAACCCTGGCTGCTTCCTCTGTCTGTACGGTGCGTACCGTATGAGCTACGGACGTCAAACTAACGTACAACCTGAAACAGCAGAGGCCATGTTAGGACTGTCGGATCTGTCTCCAAGTTGTGTGTGTGTGTTTGCATGCAGCGTCTGCAGCATGAATGAGTTGAGGTTTTTGTCTGTGCACATTTGTGTTTCTGTGTATTTTTAGCTCCTATATTTTAAGTGTTAGATAATGGTCCCTAAAGGAGTATCCCACTTCCTCTGCAGTGGAGTCCAAGATTTTAGATGGATCACAGCCGTGTGTGTGTGTGTGTGTGTGTGTCCTCCCGGAGGCGAGCAGTGTTTCATTCGGTTGGTCCATAAAAGGCTCTGAACAGCGACTGTGAGCTTGTTAAGCTGTTCACACACACTCTCAGTAATGACGTCTGAATGTTAACAAATCCCTCACAGCCCTCCAGAGACTCTTACAAACCACAAACATGTAAAATCTTGGTTTCATTTTCTTATTAGTTTAACCTCATTGCTAACGTCTGAGTCAAACACTACAATGTATGCTAATGTGTTAGCATGGAGCTTACAGTAACTTGACGTACCAGTAGTGCATCATAATGACTTTCCACACTTTCCTCATTATAGTGTTTATCTGTTAGTATGAAGCATTAGTGTTTAGCGTAGCTTGTGCCCTATGTGCTTTGACACAAAGACCAGAAAGCAACACAGCGAACTTTATCTACATGTCCATGTGAAACAGGTGGTGCTGGTAGCTTGGTGATGTAGTGTCTAACCAGTAACATGCTAGCTAGTAGGGAACATGCTAACATACCGTAAAATAGATTGTGCATACAAATATTAATGTTTAAAACGTTCAGTTCCTTTAACCGAAACTACGAGCTCCAAAGTCTAATTCATATAGATTTACATGTGTAATTGGCATGGTCCAAGAGAAAAAAGTGCTGACTCCCGTTACCTTTGAAGCGCTCGTTAAAGTGCAATTTAAGGGTAGGGTAGGGCGTAGGGTAGGGAAGGGGGCTACGCAGAGGCCCGATCTTGGTAATTGCGGACTAGCTCCAGGAGTTTTAAGTGTGATTTTACTTCAGCGTCGAGTTGACGGCGTAGCCTCTGTGTAGCCCTGTACCCTACGGCGACACCTATGCCGTAGCCTGATGTGCACCTCCTCAAAAAACGTAACTACACGTCGAGGTGACGCGGACCGTAAGCACTGTGATTGGTCGGCTGGGTAGCGTCGCAATGCCTCCGAGCCGACAGGAAGTGCTCGATGCTTTGAAGTAACTTTTATTAGCGGCCAAAACAGCAGCTGTAACACGGTGAATCAATATATTTGACCGTCACAACCCGAGCGAAATGACTCGTTAGCCTGCTCGGCCGGAAAAAGTCAACACAGTGGACGCTGTAGCGCTACTGCCGACTAGTGTTTGGGGGTGTAATTGCAGAATGACGGACACACCTACGCACAAGTATGAATGCATGGCTACATGTGTAGCCTACGGCGTAGCTACGCATGTAGACCCTACACAGGAGTATAAATCAAACTTTAGTCCGGATGTGTCCGGTCCTTGATTATTTATAATCCTTTAGTCTGTAAGGGTCCACCTATCTAAAGAATCAAAACAGCTTTTCATAAAAATTTATTTGTGATTCCTGTCATGTGAAGTGCATGGCTCTCTGTCTACTAACGTCTGCCACACTTCTCTCATCCTGCATCGTGTTGTTGGGTATGTTTGTTTTCGCTACATTGCTGCCTACAATGTGCTAGATAAAATGAATTAGTGTATTAGTGTAATGTTTATACTGTTAGAAATAAATAAACTGTTATACTGTCATCGTAGCTTCAGTTTTGTGCAAAAGGAATTAAAGGCCTGTCCCATATGGACACCTGTCCCAAATATAGGCAGGGTCAGTTTTACAGTATGTTAGAATCAGAATCTGAAGCAGCTTTATTGCCAAGTAGTGTTTTACTCATACGAGGAATTTGCTGTGGTGAAAAGGTGCTACACGTAGACAAACATACAGTCAACATAAATAAATGTAGAAATATATAAATATGGAATGGAAGAATAACATTGCAGATATATACATGCATTATTCTGGGTTTGTGCCGTGCAG